AGAGAGAGAGAGACAGAAAGCGAAAAATCACCCCCTGGGGGGATGGCCACATCACAATCCCTTCTCCTCCATTCTCCTCTCAGGATCTTGGGCACACACACCACATGCCTGGTGTGAGTTTAAGCCACCGAGTCTGGGACTTGAACCATGGTCAACTACGTGGTAACCAACAATGTAACCATTATGCCACCTGCTGGTCCCGAGATCAAGTTTCATTTGTGGACTTTTTTCTTGTATATATAATCTTGAAATCTTTAGTTAAGATCCTAATCTTTAGCTCAATATATACATTACCTCCAAATTTGACTGAATTTATTTTATAAAGAGAAATCCACAGATTGTGGTCTGCCTGTTCTTATGCTTTTTAGGAGAGAGTGCTTGAAAGTAACTGTTTCACAGATACTCCTTTGTTCATCTTGTCTACTGTTGTCTCATCTTAGATCACTGATCACTCAGTAAATAAGTATTTGCTGAACATTTGCCATATGGAGAGCAAAAATTATTATTAAATTCTATTTGTTATTATTATTTTATTTATTTATTTTTGGAGAGGTTTTTGCTGTAGAACATGTGTGCTTACCAAAAAGACAGAGACAGAGAGGCAGAAATCCAGAAATCACCCCCCCATGGGGGATGGCCATGCCACAATCCCTTCTCCTCCATTCTCCTCTCAGGATCTTGGGCACGGTGTGAGTTTAAGCAACCAGGGCTGGGACTCAAACTGCAGTTGACTACATGGAAGTCCAACGGCATAGCCATTATACCAACTGCTGGTCCCTGTTATTATTAATTTTTTAATTTGAGCAGAAAGAAAGAAAGGGAAAGCAAGGAAGCAAGCCGCCAGGTCCAGGACATGAACTGTGGTCATTCATGTGGGAATCTAGTAACTTTGACCACCACCCCACCTGCCGGCCTTGAGCAACAATTGTTAAGCTATTCTATCACGAAAGCAAGGAAGCAATTTTTTTTTTTTTTTCTTTTTTTCTTTTTTTTTTTTGCACATATGCTCTCTGAGGAAAGAGCAAGAATAGAGTGTGAAAGCATCCCGATGGGGGATAGGCACACCACAGTCTCTGCTCCATATCTCCTTTGGAGATTTTGGGCACTCAAACACTTACACATACACCCAGGGTAGTTTTTTTTCAAGCTTCTGGGTCTGGGACTTGAACCTCCCAGTTCATCATGTGGGATCCAGACACCTTAATCATCAGCAACTGGCCCCCTACATTTCTTATAACTGGGAAGATTAGGATGTAGCCAGAATAGCTTTGGAATTAAATTAGTAAATTCCTCAAACCCTGTTGGTGATATGAATCTTGTTATTTGGTGTTAAATATTTGGGGCACACATTTGCTGGCAGTCTTCAAAAAACTAAATGTAATATGTTTAGTTTTTTGTAAGTTTCTGTAATATGCACAAGTGACTTTGTCATATAAAATTGAATATAACTTGATCTGGGGCAATACTGTATTGATACTACATCCTGAAGCAGCTTCTTCCTTTTTTTCCTTCTTTTTTTTTTTTAAAAGGTTTTTGCCGTAGGGCAAATACACTTGCCAGAGAGAGGCATTCAGAGGAAAAGTGAAAAATCATTTTCCATGGGGCATAGCCACACACAATCCCTTCTCCTCCATTCTGGGATTTGAGGCACGTTTGCATGCACATACACACCCAGCATGACTTTTCAAGTCACCAGGTCAGGGACTCGAACTGTGATCAACCATGTGAGATTCCAGTGCCTTAACTACCATGCCACCTGTTAGCCCTCTAAAGCTTCTATTTTAAAGAACTTTGGTCTTTTTAATAGTGTGTGTGTGTGTGTGTGTGTGTGTGTGTGTGTGTATTTCTGTATTTTCTTAACAATTTGATAATGTGTTGTTGCTCTCAGGGCTGCATTTATCTCTGATTTCTGTATGTATTGAAAGTATTTTACTTAAGGAATTTTCTCAAAACTGGCTATTGTAGAACTTGAGTTTTACATTTTTAGTCTCCAGATAGTCTACTGTCTTTCATATACCTACGTGTATGTTCACTTTTTAGAAGTATTTATTGGGTCCAGCAGGTGTAATGGTGGTTGGGGTGCTGGACTCCCACATGTTGACCATGGATCAAGTCCAGGACTTGGTGGCTTGCTTTCTCACTTTCTTTTTCTCCCCTCCTCTCTCGTGAGCATATGTACCCTATAGCAACATTTAAAAATAATAATAAATAAAATTAAATAAAGAATTCTTTTAAAACATATTTATTAAGAAGTTAACAATTTTTGAATGATTTATCTCAAGAAATCAGTTAAATGACATTTACATCATTTGAGACTAGAAAAACATCATTTAGAGTTCGTAATTGCATTAATAAGGTAGGCTATTCAGAGACCTAGACTGACAGCAAGTATTCCCATCGAGTGCTTTAATTCCCAAATTGCCCTAGTCATCACTGTTTCAACTCACAGGAAGGATAAAAGGGCATGGTGGGCAGCATTATGCCTAAAAATGGCAGACATTACTCCTGATTATATTCTGTAAAGGAAACTCAGTCACATGTTAAAGCAAGAGAGGCTGAGATACAGTTTAGCGAAGTATATAAGAAAGGAAGAATGGATTTTGGTGGACAGTTTAGCAGTTCCATCACAATGACCATGAGCAACCACATTTTTTCTTTGTGTTACATTTCCCCTTTCAATTTGAGCACACATGTGTTAATTAAACAGTGTGAGAGTGAGCCTGTTTGAGAATATATTCATGGTAATGGTAATGCTGTCTCCTGGGAGTTCTTACTCTACCAAGCATCTGATATCTAAGAACCATAGTGAACTCTGGTTATCCAGTTTTTTAGTCTGCTGTGAGCAGTAATTCCTAGATATAGCAGGCATTTGTCAGTTCGGCAAGCTATGGATTCCTCCTACTTTAGAACCTGGAACCTGAAGACACATTATTATTTACAGAGTACAAGGTTGATGGTGACTCCTTAGAAGTTATCCATACCTATTTTTGTTGTTGTTCATTTATTGAAGAGTCATTTTGTGGGGCTGGTGGCTGGTGACTGGCGTGGTGGTTAAGTCCACTGAACTCCCATATAGCCGAATGTGGTTCAAGTCCTGGACCTGGCGGCTTGTTTTTTCACTTTCTCTCTCTCCCTCTCACTCTGTCCCTCTCTGGCCAAATTAAAACATAAATAAATAAGTAAATAAAGTTGTATAAAATAATTCTTTTTTAAAAAAGAGGCATTTTGAGCCTCTTTAAATTTTCTTGCATCTATACCGTTACTCTCTTATTTTCATTTTGTTTTGACAGTTCTCATGATGGCAGTTCACTATATCTTTGGTGCAGAGCAAGATACTGTGAAAAATAAAATCAGATTTACATAACGAGCTCCTTTTGTATGTAAGATGTTAGTCATAGAGAGATCGTTGCCTTATATGAAAGGAGTCTCTAGGTTGTGACGGGAACAGAGCCATTATTAGGACCTTTCAGCATGGAATTGTATTTTTGGAAACCTTTTGCCCTCATGTCTCTAACCAGTAGTATACATCTTTTTTTTTTAATTACTTATTTAATTTTATTTATCATTATCACTAATTTTTTTTTTTTTAATTCACCAGAGACAGAGGGAGAGAGTGAGGGAAAATAAGAAAGCAAGGTGCCACGTTCAGGACTCAAACCGCAGTTGGTTATGTGGGAGTCCAACACCTTAACCGTCACACCACCTGCTCACCCTGATAGTATATATCTTAATCTAAGGATTTTATTTCAAAATGCAGAAGCCTTGACTCCATCATAGTGGCAGTTTTACAGTTGTGTCAAGAATATTTATTTATTTTGGAAAAATCTCCCTGGGCCCAAGTATTTCTCAGGCACTCTTGATTAAGAAGTAACATCTTTTGGGACCAGCAGTTGGCGTAATGGCTATGTTGTTGGACTCCCAGATAGTCAACCACAGTTCAAGTCCTGCACCTGGTGGCTTAAACACGCTGGACACATGTACATGTGTGCCTAAGATCCCGAGAAGAGAATGGAGGAGAAGGGATTGCAGCATGGCCATCCTTCCTGGGGGGTGATTTCTCACTTTCTGCCTGTCTCTCTCTTTCTGGCGAGCATACACATTCTATAACAAAAACCTCTCAAAAAAAAAAAAAGAGAGAGAGAAGTAACATCTGTCAAGTGGTAGTTTAGTCAGTACCAATGGGTCATTGGGAAAGTCCTGACACATTTTTGCATAGAAAAACAGAAAAATACATCATGATTTTCCCAACTAATAAAATTACTGAAATGGCTGTTGTAACATATATAAACTATGATTTATTAAAAAAATGTAAAACTCAGCCTTTCATTAGAGTAATTAAAAAGTTGGAAATTAGGGGCCGGCAGGTGGCATGGTGGTTAAGGGCGCTGGACTCCCATATGGCCAACCACAGTTCAAATCCTGGACATGGTGGCTTGCTTTCTCACTCTCCCTTTCTCTATTTCTCACTCTGTCCCTCTCTGGTAAAATTAAAATAAATAAATAAATAAATAAAGCTGAATAAAATAATTTTTAAAAAAGATTATTAAAAAAAAGTTCAAGGCAAATTTTAATGTTTAAAAGAAAAAAGTTAGAAATTAAACATCAATGGTCGGTGGATTTTTTTAGTAATTTTTAAAGGATAATTAAACTTGACTAACCAGTAATGCCATTCTGAGAGAGTAATACAGTATATTTAAATTACCTTTAATAACAATATTGTTTTAAAAATGTTTGTTTATCATAATATAGTATAAATATTAGCATATATGAATTCCAAACCTTTTGCAAAATGACAAATGCACTTTTCTTACGTTTGTGCATTTTTGTTTTGTTTTGTTTTTCCTTTTAGAGTTCAGCAGTGCCTAAGACCTGGGTCTCAACAGACCACCTCTCTATTGTGTGGTAAGTTACCGTAACTTATTTTGGTAATTTGTGATGGTCCTCTTTTCTCATCATCACATTAATTGACTTGTTAGTGTCTTTAGAACTTTATCCATTAATAAATAAGGCTATAGGAGAATGATTAAGTTAAGGGCGTAGAATTCCAACCTTGGTTCTTGTCTCAGTTTGACCATAGTTCTCTTGACAAATCTGAAATCATGTCCTGTAGAATTGGTAGCATCATTTTTAGATGAAGTTAACATCAAATACTAAAACTGTAGAGTTTGTCATACTTGGGCAGAATCAGATGTACCTGTGGTAAGTCTTCTGAGCTCCCAGCCAATAACTATCCTTATTGATTTGTTTTATGAAACAGTTACTATTCTAGGAAGTAGCACAGAGAAAACCATCTAGGAATAAGATATTTCCGTAATATAAATTAGAAAATAAGATATCGAATATGAATCACTAAAAAGTGACCCTAGTATTCATCTCTGTATATTTTGATTTAATGAGTCCCTTTTGACCTTCTTCTGGCTTCTGTTATTCTTTGCAGATAGTACCATCTGCTCGAGCCACATAGTTCAGGCATGAAGCTGGGTAGGCAGTATGTCTAAAGCAGTAGTAGGTGAGATTTAGGGAAGATAGGCCCTGACAATTCTGTCAAATACCTAAGAAGATTTAATTTGCTTTGTTTTTAGGGTTCAACTGTAAGATATGCTTAATTAGAATAATTTGTTACATTTATAGCATTAAAGGAAACTTAAGATACTCTATCAATAGAATTGTGTGTGCTTAGATCAACAATACATGTTTTAAGAAGGTTTCATTTATAACACTTAACTTTATTCTTTAGGTGCAAACAATTGCAATTGACTACAATTCGAGCATTCTTTGATCTGATTGATGCTGATACTAAACAAGTATGTGTTTTTTTAAGTAAAAATTATTTTAGTAAAATGAAAGCTTTTGTTACAGCAGTGATGGATTTAATCACTTTGTTTCTCTTTGATGAAAACAGAAGCATAGGGGTCCAGTAGGTGGCATGGTGGTTGAGGGCACTGGACTCCCGCATGGCTGACAGCGGTTCAAGTCTCAGACCTGGCAGCTTGATTCTCACTTTTCCTCTCTCTGTCTCTCTTACTCTGTCACTCTCTGGTCAGATTAAAAAATAAATAAATAAATAAAATAAAGTTAAATAAAATAATTCTTTAAAAAGAAAACAGAAGCATATACCTTTTTAAAAAAATAATTATTAATTTATTTAATTCCTTGTGTTATTTTTATTTTTTAAATTTGACCAGGGAGAATGAGAAAGGGAAAGCAAGAAGCCAAGCTGCCAGTTCCAGGACTCAAACCTTGGTCGGCCATGTGGGAATCCAGTGCCTTTAATCACCACACCATCTGTAAGCCCTATATGTATTTTATGTCAATTTTAATTAGTTCTAAAATGGAAATACCTTTTGTTGTTATTATTATTATTATTATTAGGTTTTTACCATAGAGTATATACACTTGTTGGAGAGAGACAGAAAGGGAAAGTGAGAAAGCACATGCCAGGAGGGATGGCCTTGCCACACAGTCCCTTCTCCTCTCAGGATTTTGGGTGCACACACTCCCAGCATGATTTTCTTTTCTTTCTTTATTTTTTTTTTTTCCATTAGATTTTTGCTATAGGGCGTGTGTGCTCAACAGAGAGATAGAAAGCAAGAAATCACTTCCCAGGGGTAATGGCCACACTGCCCTTCTCCTCCATTCTTTTCTCAGGATTTTGAGCACATGCACACATGAGCCCAGCATGAGTTTTAAGCCATCAGGTTCGATACTCGAACCACAGTCTACCATGTGGGAGTCCAGTGATGTAACTATTACGCCATCTGCTGATCCTCTCAGCCTCATTTTCAAGCTGCCATTTCCAGGACTAGAGCAGAGGTCGACTCTGTGGGAGTCCAGTGCCTTAACCATCATACCACCTGCTGACCCCAGAAATACCTTTTTTTATAGTATTTGACCACTATTAATAATTTATAGAAGGGTGAAAAGGAGGGAATCAAGGGGGAAAAGAAGGAAGCAAAACATTAAAGGGACACAGAAATGGAAAAATTATCATTGATTATAATGTGTATGATAATATCTGACTGGACTAATGCAGTAGTGTATTCTAATGATGCACAGTGATTGACTATAAAACAGTAATAATAAGAGATATCTTCTGAAAAAATAATGTATAGAATGTGATGCAGAGATTTCATTTGCTTTATATTTATAGGTTTCAATCTTAAGTTACATGCTTAATAAGAATAATTTAAGGGACCAGCAGATGGTATAATGCTTACATCGCTGGACTCTTACATAGTCAAATCACAGTTTGAGTCCCGGACCCGGTGACTTAAGACTATGGTATAATGCTTACATCGCTGGACTCTTACGTAGTCAAATCACAGTTTGAGTCCCGGACCAGGTGACTTAAGACTCAAAAAAAAACCTCTCCAAAAAAAAAAAAAAAAAAAATCCCAAGAGGAGAATGGAAAAGGGATTGCAGGGTGGCCATCCTCCTTGGGGGTTGATTTCTTGCTTTCTCTATCTCTCTGGTGAGTGCATGCACTCTATAGCAAGAAATCTCTCTTAAAAACAAAATGAAATAAAACAAAAGAATAATTTGAGGGACCAGCAGTTGGGGTAATGGCTATGTCACTGGACTTCCATGCAGTTGGCTGCGGTTCGAGTCCCGGGCCCCGGTGGCTTAAACTCACTCCGGGCACATGTGTGTGTGTGTGTGCCCAAGATCCTGAGAGGAGAATGGAGAAGAGATTGTGGCATGGCCATCCCCCCTGGGGAGTGATTTCTTGCTTTCTATCTCTCTGTCTTTCTGGCGAGTACACGTACCCTATAGCAAAAACCTAAGTAAATAAATAAGTAAATAACAGTTTTAGAAAATGAAAAACAAAAAAGTCATACATTCTATCTTCTAGTTCTTTTTCTTTACTATTTAAATTTTAATATATATTCTTCTAGTTTTTTTTTTAACTTAAGGAAGACACTTATTACAAGCTTTTTTGTGTTTATTCTTAGTAAGATGTTGTGAATATCATAATCTATCTTAGACAGTGTTGAACTATGTTTTTAAAAAAGCATCCTTAGCTTTCTGATAAGGTCAAAATATATTCATTTGCTAAATAACTCAAGCTCACTAGAACTTAATTATGTACTTCAACAAGCTGAGCTTCTTCTATAGTAAGATTTCACAGTATTACCTCTTTAAACTAGTGATTTTTTCTAAGTTGTTTAATTAGCAGAATACATGGAAATCACAGTACCCTTTATAGAACATCACATTACTCTTTCATTTCTTTCTTGTCTACTAGCAAATATATTGCAGCAGGCATTAAGGATTTCAGCATAATGGAGAATTCTATCCTTTTTTCTTTTTTAAAACAAATTTTGCCAGAGTGGATGAATGCTTGCTGAAAGTAGAGGGTAAGAAAACATCTCCATGGGGTATAGTTATTCTGCAGTCCTTTTCCATTTCTGTCTCCTTTTGGGATTTGGGACATGTACACACATGCACCTGGCATATATTTCAAGCCACCTGATCCAGTACTCGAATGGTTGGCCTTGTGGGATCCAGCAGCCTTTGCCACCATGCCACCTGTTGACCCCAGGGAATTCTAGCCTATAAATTTATTATCTGTGAGTTGGAAACAGATTGCCTTTAGTCATCTTAAACAGTCTTTCACCTCAGGTCATCTTGCAATATATTACTATTTCACTATTATATTTTAAGAACTGTGGCTGCTTTTGGAGAAAAAGACTTTTTTTATTATTATTATCTTTTTCATTATGATAAAGTATTGCAACCCAGATATTTTTAGAATTTTTTTCCCTGAAGGCGCCAGTTCTTTGAGAGACCAGTATGGCCTCTAAGTAGGTCTCAAGGTAATGCTTTCCTTATCATCTTGTCGTACAACCTTTTCCCCTGTAGTGTATTGTCTTGTGGGGGTGGCCTGAAGTGTTTATATTTTTAACTTAACTCATCAAGCTGTATAACCACTATTAGAAAGAATCATGGACACTTAGGTCTTACAGATCCAAATCTTCTTTGTTTTACAATATGTTAAGCTATATGATTCTATATTTTGTATTTTATAGACACACACAATTTTTAAATTGCCAGAGGGCACCCAGCTCTCTGGAGACTGAGAGCAGGAGAAAGTACCCCCTGCTCCTAACATTGAGTGGCCACACCACAATCCCTTCTCTTTCATTTTTCAATCCTGTTGGGATTTGGGGTATACACACCTGGCATGTTTTTCAAGCTGCCAGGACTGGGATTCTAACCATGGTCGGCTGTATTGAGATCTGGCTCCTGTTAACCACTATGCTAAGGAGCCAGCCCTTAAATAATAGATTATTGAAGTAAATAAGCTGTATGAGATTGGCACTGTGATTTGGTCATAGCACACTAACTTTTTATGGCTTACCGACATTTTATCTGTGAGGCTTAACTATGGCAAAATTTTTAAGTCTACTTGAGAGTACAACTAGATATGGTAGTAATATCAATTAAAAGTACAAGACTAATTTGTACTTGAACTTACATTTGGTAGATTTAGGAAAAACCTTATTCCCACCAATGAAGAATGGGAGTACCTCAGGTGTTTTCCTAAAAAAATTAACTCTATAACTAATTTAATGATAAAATCATGTTTTTCCATTAGCTCCTAAGATGAGAAAGGAACTCCAGTACTAGTATGTAAATAAGTGATAATTCTGAGTGCATAAATATTTTGTAGACATTTTAAGAGACACATGAAAAAATGTTCTAAACTATACCATAAGACTCACAATACAGTACTATGTATGAAACTGTTTAACAAGTTCACTTTATATAATAGACTGGACAAAATAATAGAAAAATAAAAGTTAAGATATAGTTCCTAACTCGTAAGAAGCGTGATAGTATGAGAGGAAGACAGAACATGTATACAGAGAAACTATAACTCAAAGCATAATTAATCTCAAACACCTGGTACTAAGGCAGGACTCGGAATTAGAGAGTGTTTATTGGGGGGTGGGTTATCAGTGTAAGAGTCATCCCCAAAAACTTGTGAGTGAATGGGTTCCTAGAGAGTTAGAATAGTGGAATCCTGGTTTAAAGTTTAGTCGATAGACTTATGGCTTTCAATTGATTACAAACATATGTGGCTACTTTAAAAACTAAGCTAATTTAGTATTAGACCAGGGTGATCGAAGTACAGGGTTTACAATGAGTGAATAGAAAAATTCCACCATTCTTTATTCTAGTTACACTGTATCTAGAGAATTATATTCTATTTTAATGCTGTATTTTAAGAGGAATATCAGTAAACTTGAGTTTATCCACAGTAGGAAATCAGAGTGGAGAAGGGATTCAAAGAATTCCATTAAAAGCAGTTGATATGTTTGAAGTTGTTTAATTTACAGGAAAAAATGTTTTATTGGTTGTCGGGAAAGTCATGATCCATTTTAGCATAGAAAAACAAGCTGGCATGACTTTCCCAAAGACCTAATATTTGGACAGAAGCATAATAGGCTTTCAGTTTGTGAAGATCTGCCCCCCAATCTAAGATATCAGACTAGCAGGGAGTCAGTTATTTGTTCTAAATGGGGCAAAATGTTCTCCTGGTAAGAGTTGTTGAAATTGGAATATACTATCCTGCAAAATAGCGAGTTAGAAATGTTCGAATAAATCCAGGGTGCAAGATTAGAAGGTTTAGTATACCTGGGTTCTCACTAGACCAGAGACTCTTAAGTTCTTTTCTGATTCTTTATAACATAAAATATTACATCATTATAATGCTTTATTCTTTTTTTTTTTTAAAGATTTTTTGCTGTAGTGTGCATGCGCTCACTGGAGAGACAGAGACAGAAAGATGGAAAGTGAAAAATCACCCTAAGGGAGGATGGCCATGCTACAGTTCCTTCATCTCTGTTCTCTCGGGATTTGGGGCATGCATTCACACATGCCCAGTGTGAATTTCAAGCCACCAGGTCTGGGACTCAAAAGGCGGTTGACTACATGGGAGTCCAGCGATGTAACCATTATGCCATCTGCTGGTCCCTATAGTGCTTTATTCGTAATTCTTCCTTGAGAGGCATGATTGCATACTAAGTAAAAGCATGGACTTTAGACCAGAATGCCTACATTCGAGTCCCAGCCTTGACTCTTTTTTTTTAGAGAGAGATTTTTTGCTGTAGGACATGTGCACTCACCCAAGAGACAGAGAGAGACAGAAAGTGAGAAATCACCCCAATACCTTCTCCCTCCATTCTCCTCTCTGGATCTTGGGCATGCACATTAGGTCTGGGACCACAGTCAACTACATGGGAATCCAGCGACATAACTATTACATCATCTGCTGGTCCCAGCCTAGACTCTTCATAGCTGGGTGACCTTGTGTAATTTCCTTAATTTCTTGTGTTTTGTTTCTTCATGTTTAAAATGCAGATTAAAAAGGCTATTATCTCTGACAGTTCTCGTGATGATTAAATGAGTTAATACACACTAAGTACTTAGAATAGTCCCTGGCTCAGAGTAAATAAATTGTGGCCCTTGTCATCATTACTTGAAGTAGTGCTTAATTCAGCTATCACAATGGATATAAAATGATACAGAATGTATTAATGTTCTCTCTAGATAACTCAAAACCCCAAGAAGAAATTGTCTGTTTTGAATCATCACTTTATAAGACACCCGGCAAAACATTTTGAGGAAAATCCAGCAATAATTTCTGACTTAACAGGTTGGTGCTAATAACATTTTGATTTTAAATAGTTTTTTAATTTTTATTTTTAGATACTTTTTTTTATTAGCTAAAATTAGACTTTGAAACTGATTCTTCAAAAATTATTATACTGGGGAACCAGCAGTTAGCGTAATGGCTATGTCGCTGGACTCCCACGTAGTCGACCGCAGTTCGTGTCCCGGACCCGGTGGCTTAAAACTCACGCCGGGCGCGTGTGCGTGCGTGCCCAAGATCCCGAGAGGAGAATGGAGGAGAAGGGATTGCTGCGTGACCATCCCCCCTGGGGGGTGATTTCTCGCTTTCTGTCTCTATGTCTCTGTCTGTCTGGCGAGCGCACGCGCCCTACAGTGAAAATCTCTCCAAAAAAAAAAAAATTATTATACTGTTGTATTTTATAATTTTCCTTTGATGGTGCCAATGAGGTTCTTGGTTAGGAAGGGAAAAAGTAGAAAAGCAATTTGTAAGATGTTGGTGCTGAATATTTTATCCTGAAAATAACATGACAAATAGAAAATTATTCCCGCCCCCTTCCTTTTGGCCAGCACCGCCGTCTTCCAGTAATTAACCAAAATGACGAACACAACGGGAAAGAGGAGAGGCACCCGATATATGTTCTCTAGGCCTTTTAGAAAACATGGAGCTGTTCCTTTGGCAACAGATATGTGAATCTACAAGAAAGGTGATATTGTAGACATTAAGGGAATAGATACTGTTCAAGAAGGAATGCCCCACAAATGTTACCACATGAAAAGTGGAAGAGTCTGCAGTGTTACCCAGCATGTTGTTGGCATTGTTGTGAACAAACACGTTAAGGGCAAGATTCTTAACCAAGAGAATTAATGTGCATATTGAACATATTAAACATGCCAAGAGCAGAGATAGCTTCCTAAAATGTGTGAAGGAAAATGACCAGAAAAAGAAAGAAGCCAAAGAGAAAGGTACCTGGGTTCAACTGAAGCGCCAGCCTGCTCCACCCAGAGAAGCACACTTTGTGAGAACCAATGGAAAGGAGCCTGAGCTACTGGAACCTATTCCCTATGAATTCATGGCATGATGGGTGTTAAACTAATCTGTGGTCTATAAAAATATTTGCCTTAATTGAGTAGAATTATGTTCCCTCCCCAAAGCTAATTTTTATTGGGCTCTAATTGATTTTGTAATATCTTTATTCAAAGTTAGTATTTTTTTACCTGAAAGATATTAGGTGGTTTGGTTTATACAACAAATAAAACTCAGTTGTTTAGAAAACTGTCCAAAAAATAGAAAATTATTAGAATTAAATGTCTCTGTTCCCTTAACAGTCACATAAGTCACATAAAAGGATTTTTTTTTTTTTTTTAAGGTTTTTGTCAACCGGGCAGGCTTTGTGCTCATCAGAGAAGGACAGATAGGGAAAGTGAGAAATAACACCCCCCAGCAGGGATGGCTACACTGCAACCCCTTTTCCTCTTGGGATTCTGGGCACACATGCAGACACACCTGGCCTGAGTTTCAAGCATCTGGGTCCAGAACTCGAACTGCAGTCTGCCATTTGGGAGTTCAGTGCCTTAGCCACTATGCCACCTGGATTTCTTTTATATGACTCTTTTAATTCTTTTCAGTATCCATATCAGTTATTTTTCAGTCTCTTTTGGATAACCAACATATGTTTTGCTGGTAAATTTTGCTCTTAAAATAATACCTGTTATAGTTTACTTAGTTATATGTCTTTTTTTTGGAGGGGGGGCATTTATTTCCTTCTGTTGATTACTGCCTCTTAATTAAAGGCACCAAGTAGACATAATAATTTACCTGATGTGAATGCTAGTTTATGATGAGTATATAGACAAGATGTTATTAGATTTTTTTGTTTTAAAATAGGCAGTGTTCCAAAGTCGACTTATTTATTGTAATTGAGAAGTATTTCACCAGGATTCATAAAAGAAGGAGATTACTTAGTATAAAAACAAAATAAAAATAAGTTAATTTCCTTTCTTTTAAGGGACATCTATGTGGGTTCCAGTAAAAGTGTCCAAATGGACCTATGTGGCTTACAATGTGAGTATTTTACCAGTGGATTTTTTTTTAGTATTTCCTTTAAAAGTTGAAAACTAAGTAAGAGAGTCTAGTGGGTGGTATTGTGGTATAGGTACTGAACTCCCACTTGGCAGTTTGAGTCCTGGACCTGATGGCCTGCTTTCTCATTTTCTCTTTCTCTCTCTCCTTGTCTCTCTCTCATCAAATGAAAAAATAATAACAATAAATAAAATTTAAAAATTCTTTTAAAAAAAACATTAACAATATTAACATACACTGTTTTCCCAGAATTTAATAATAAATATCTAGTCAATGTTTGATTTCTTAGTTTCATCATAAATTTTTCTCTTTTTTTTTTTTTTGCTGTTTTGTTTTTCAATTATGTGTTTAAAATCAGGACCAAAACAAAGCCTACATATTGTTGCTGATTAATATGTCTCTTACCTTTCTGTAATCTGTAATATTTTCTCTGCCTACTTTTTTCCCTTTAAAATTAATATGTTGAAAAGAACAGGTTATTAAAATAACTGTCTTATTACTGTCTTTTTTTTTTTTTTTAAGGTTTTTTGTCCTAGGACATGTGCACTGGCAAGAGACAGTGAAGGGGGGAATGAGAAATCACCTTTCCCCCCCAAGGGGAAATGGTCACACCTCAGTCCTTTCTCTTCCATTCTCCTCTTGGGGTTTTGGGCATGCATGCAATGTACCTGGTATGATTTTCAAGGCACCAGGTCTGGAACTCGAACCATGGTCAGCATGTGGGAGTCCAGCAGCTTAGCTCCACCTGCTGACCCTGAGATTGACAGTCCTGATTTTTCTGATTGAATTTCTGTAATCATTCGACATTTTCCTTTGCCTATTCTTTTCCTGTGATTTAATAATTAGATATAGATTCTTGATCAGATTAAGGTTTTACTTTGTTTTTGCCAGACTATCTCTCTGTTTGTTATTTTAGAAGGAAAGCCTGGAGTCATTAATTCATTTAGGAGGATGCAAAAATGATACTTTAATTTTATTATTCCCTCTTCGTTTATTAACTGGAATATTATATAGAAAAACCTCTTCATCTACTAAATTTGTCAAAAGTGGAACAGATTGTAATGAAAAATAATTATAATTGTTTAATACTTGAATCTTACCCTATATTTACTGGTTATCAATAGTGAGTTGGTTCACAAGCATCCTCTATCAGTGAACACTAGAGAGTTTTTGCTCTAGTATTATTATGAAAGCATGTATTTAAACATACTTGTGTTTCAGTCCATTAATACTAAAATTATACTGTGCTTGACTGTGGAAGTTATTTTAAGTTTGGTTCCCAAGTCTTTTTTTTTTTTTAAGAGGTTTTTGCTATAGGGCGCGTGCACTGACCAGACAGACAGAGACGGAGAGACAGAGAGCAAGAAATCACCCCCCATGGGGGATGGCCACTCTGCAATCCCTTCTCCTCCATTCTCCTGTCGGGATCTTGGGCACATATGCACACGCGCCTGGCGTGAGTTTTAAGCCACCGGGTCCAGGACTTGAATCGCAGTCGAATACATGGGAGTCCAGTGACATAGCCATTATGCTAACTGCTGGTCCCGCCAAGTCTTTTTGATACAACTATTTGCTTTTAATAGTTTTTTCACTGTCTGTATGACAAGATAATTTAGCTCATTTTATATCTTTCCTGCCCCAGACCTCAAATCAGCTATTTCTCTAAGGAACTACTCATTTACTTGGGAAATGGTATGTCAAAACCATAATCTGGCAGTGTAGACACTTACAGCTATTTCTAGGCCTTTTCAGTGGCCAGAGCTAAGACATGTATCTTATCATAGCTAAAAGGCCAAAAAAACGTAATAAAACAAACAAAAAAATCTTTCATATACTGGAAGTTCAGGACATTGTACTGATAGTTACAAAAATTCAGACCTACAGAGTTTGTACCAATCTATTTTACCTCTGTATCTTCTTCCTTTCACTCCTGGGATATTCTCAATAACATCAAGAATGGTAGAATTGGGCCAGTAGGTGGCATAGTAGTTAGGTGGCCAGATTACCACATGACTGATTGTGGTTCCAGTTCCAGACCCGGTGGCTTGAAAATCATGCCAGGCACATTTGTGTACATGCCCAAAATCCAAGAGGAGAAAGGAGAAGGGATTGTAGCAGGGCCATACCCTCTGTGTGTTGGGGGGTGATTTCCTACTTTCCTGTTCTCTATCTCTGTCTTCCTGTGTATCCTTTCTGGCAAGCACACATCATATGGCAAAGAACTAAAAACAAAAAAGAAAGTAGAATTAAAATAGTTGCTGGGTTGGCTCCCTGGCCTGATGGTTAAGACAGCTATATCCCACATGGCTGACTGTGCACTTAAACTCCTAACCTGGCAGCAGCTTGAGAATCGCAGTGAGTACACATGCATGTATACCAAAAAATCCCAAAAGGAGAAGTGTAAGAGAAGAGATAACAGGGTGATTGTTCTTCATGGAGGAGAGGTACTCCTCTCTCTGAGTCTCTGTCTCTGTTTGGTGAGGACACATACCCTCTGGCCAGAAAAATAAAGTAGAAAAGGAGGGACCAGCAGATGGTGTAATGGTTACGTTGCTGGACTCCCACATGGTTGACCATGGTTTGAGTCCCAGACCCAGCAGCTTAAACTCACACCGGGTGCATGTGTGGGCATGCTCAAAATGCCAAGAGGAGAATAGAGGAGAAGAGATTGTAGCATGGCCACCCCCCACCCCCCAGAGGGGTGTTTTCTCACTTTCTGTCTTTCTGTCTCTTTCTCTCTGGCAAACACACATGTCCTATAGCAAAATCTCTAAAAAGTATAAAAAAAGAATAATTACTTGGTTTATCTGGGGTTTTGAATGATGAAATTATTATTCTCATTGTAGTCATATTGAGTGTTTTCTCTCTTTGTTTTAGGAATCTGATAAGATATATTTCACATTTCCTCTTGCAAATCATAGAAAAATCTACACTCATGTCTACTGTCAGAGCACCATGCTGGTAAGACAATTGGTACATTATATATAAATTTAAAAGGCTGTTCATTTTTCTACTACTATCTAGTAGATCTAACTAAGAACTGTTATGAAATCTAATTAGTTGAAAAATATTTCTCTGGAATAGTGTTTTGATCGAAAAGTATTGATTAAAGATGTTTTCTTGACTCATAATATACCATTAAATTTTATTTTTCGTTCTAGTTTATGTCTTCTACTGTGTCTTTTTTCCTTAGTTTCTCTATATTTAGGAATGAAGGAATTGAATTCAAAGCCCCTTTAATTCTAAATTTTTACTAGTACTTTAAAGACTAAGGAGCCAACCCCATAGCTTCCTGGTTTAGGCAGCTGGATCCCACTTGGCAAAAGTTCAAGTCCTGACCTGGCATCTTGAGAAACACATAAACTGTGTGTACATATGGTGTCCAAAAATCGCAGGATAGATGAAGGCCGGGACCAGCAGTTGGTGTAACGGCTATGTCACTGGACTCCCATGTGGTCGACAGTGGTTCAAGTCTTGGACCTGGTGGCTTAAACTCAGGCCGAGTGCATGTACATGCATGCCTAAGTTCCTGGGAGGAGAATGGAGAAGAGATTGTGGCGTGGCCATCCCCTGTGGGGGGTGATTTCTCACTTGCTGTCTCTCTGTCTTTCTGGCGAGCACACGCACCTTAGCAAAAACCTCTTCAAAAAAAAAAAAGAAAAGGAAAATGGAAGCCAAGGAATTATGGTACAGTGCTTTCTCCTTTTGTTAGTCTTTCTGGCAAGTGTATATACCCTCAGGCAATTTTTAAAAATGTTTAAAAAGAATAAAATTTAGGCAAAGCTATTCCGTAGGAATTTTATAGAGTGAATTCTGTTTTCCACTGATTTCCACACTACAATTTGAGGTACTTTTTTTTTTGAGAATTATTTTAATTAATTATTATTTTTTTTTAATTTGACCAGAGAGGGACACAGAGAGAGAGAAAGTGAGAGAGCAAGCTGCCCAGTCCAGAATTCAAACTGCACTCAGCCATGTGGGAGTCCAGCACCCCTAACCACCAGATGTTGACCTGCTAGCCCTAATTTGAAGTACTTTTATAGTAAATATTCTCTGAGACAGTAGAATAACTGTTACAATGTTGTTTAGACTTACATATCAGACTATGTAATTTTTTAACGAATGTTTGGTTTACGTTAGGCATTGTTTAAAAAATGTTATGTTGGGACCAGCAGATGGTCTAATGGTTTTATCACTAGACTCCCACCTGGCAACTCCCAGAACCAGAGGCATGAAACACGCCAGCCATGCGTGTGTGTGTGTGTGTGTGTGTGTGTGTGTGTGTGCCCAAGATCCTAAGAGGAAAATGAAGGAGAAGGGATTGCAGTGTGACCATCCACCCTGGGTGGTGATTTCTCACTTTCTGTCTCTGTGTCATTGTTTCCCTCCCCCTCCCCCCCCACTTCCCGGTCTCTCCAGCAAGTTCACATGCACTATAGCAAAAATCTCTCTTTAAAAAAAGTGGACTGGCAGGTGGCATGGTAAAGGCAGTAGATTCCCACCTGGCCAACTGCGGTTTGATTCCTGGACCTGATGTCTAGCTTTCTTGCTTATTCTTTCTGTCTCTTTCTGGTCAAATTAAAATTGAAAAAAAAAAAGATAATTAAAATTAAATAATTCTTTTAGAAAATGTTACATGTTATAGCAATACTTTTGTTATGAAATTAGTGATTTACAAGTAATGATTTCATAATTCATCAACTTTTTTTTAAAGAATTATTTACTCGATTTCATTTATTCATTTATTTTAATTTGACCAGGAAAGACATGGAGGGGGGGGAGTGAGAAAGCAAGCCATGTGGGAGTGTCCAGTGCCTTAAACAACATGCCACCTGCTGGTCCCCTCATCAACATTTCTTTCAAGAATTTTTCCTGGGGCTGGCAGGTGGCATGGTGGTTAAGGGCGCTGAACTCCCACCTGGCCAGCTCTGGTTCGAGTTCCACACCTGCTGACTTGCTTTCTCTCTCTCTCTCTCTCTCGTTCTCTGGTCAAATTAAAATAAATTAATTAATTACATTAAATTAAATAATTATTTAAAAAAAGAATTTTTTCTAATTTGGGTTTCTTTTGTTTTGAATTTGTTTGTTCTTTAGCATATTTCAAGATTATTCATTTTACATTTGCATCTTACATTCTCTGTTTTATTAGAAGGTTTGTATTTTTTTCAAACAAGATCTAATATATTACTTTGCTGGTAGATATTGTCATCTGATACATGGTAAAGTCTTTCAAAAGCCTTTACAAAAGATTGCAGGCAAGCATTATGGGCTAAGTGCTAATAAATACCACATTTTAGTGGAATTACCAGTTTTACTTCTCACAGAGACTAAGATCTCTTAGCCTACAATATAGATGGGTACTTTATTCTGGGAAAATCTGGCCCTACAGTGATAACTTAAACTATCTGTATTCAACTAATACAATTTCAAATCAGAATTTAGTATTATATTGAGAAAAAAATGCTTGCTGGAATGCACATGATCTATTTGACTGATTAGAGGATTCCTTTTTTTCCCCCTTTCCTATTTTTCTCTTTTTTTAGAGAGATTTTTGCTATAAGGTACATGCCCTTGCCAGAGAGACAGAGAAGTAGAAAGTGAGAAATCACAACCCCACCCCCCCGGAGGGGATAGCCATGCTGCAATCCTTTCTCCTCCATTCTTGTCTTGGGATTTGGGGCCTGTATGCATACACAACTGCTGTGAGTCTCAAGCCACTGGGTCCGGGACTCAGTCCACGATCAATTACATGGTTGTCCAGAAACGTAATCAGTACGCCATCCGCTGGTCCCAGAGGATTCCTTTTTTTTTTTTAGAATGATTTTATTGAGCTTTATTTTATTCATTTATTTATTTAAATTTGACCAGAGAGGAAAAGAGAGAGAAATTGAAAAAGCAAACCACCAGGTCCAGGACTCAGGCCACCGTTGGCTATGTGGGAGTCCAGTGTTCTTAACCACCATGCTACCTGCCAGCCCAAGGATTCCTTTTTTATATTTAATATTCTCAGGTATTAATTAGCATAAAGTTACATGGTAAATTTTTTAAAAAACTTTTCAATTTTTATTATAGAAATTTTTAAACATATATGAATTTAGAAATAAAATACAATAATGAATTATTTGATAACCAATACAAGTTTAACAATTACCAATACTATGCCATTATTCATTTATTCCTCTAATCAAATTAATACTAATTCTTTAATAGCATCTGATATCTAGTTCATGTTCGGTTTTCTTTGGTTCACTTAAATTTCAAATTCATTTGAGTTGGGATCCAAACAAAGTGTTTACATTGCCTTTAGTTCATGGATCCGAACTCAAAGGGGAGTTAAATGTTCTGCAGAATATCCCACATTCTGGGGTCTGGATGGTGGGGCAATGGTAAACTGATGCTTTGCAAGGCTGATCTATGTGAGAAGGTTCCAGGTTTGCATCCAGAGACCTCTCTGAGTATGCTGGGCATGCGCGTGCCCATGATCTGAAGCCAGCTCGGATAGATCATGGTGTTGGGATCCTTTCAGAGTTCTCTCTCTCTATCTATCTTTTCTGTCTCTCATTCAAGGGAGATATAAATAAACCTGAAAAAAAGGATTTCCCACATACTAGGCTTAACTGATTGTATTCTTGTAGGTTTTTTTGTTTGTTTGTTTGTTTGTTTTAATGTACTGAGCCATGGTAAAAGTAGTGATGGATCTTTGCATAGAAAAACAAAAAGTGCATCATGACTTTCCCAACAATTTACTATTTCTGTCTCCCCTATGTTTTCTGTAAAGTGGTAGTTAGATCTAGAATTTTGGCTAAATTTAGATTAGATTTTGTGTGGCAAGAATGTATTATAAGTAGAGCTGTGTGTTTCCTTTTTCATCACATCAGGAGGTACATAATAATTGGTTGTCCTAGTTTTAGTGACATAAAGACTTATCATTGGGCTCAGGTGGTATCAGCATGATCCATTCATTATAAAGTTTCCTTATAAAGTCAATCTTTCATCTAATGATTTAGCAGCAACTGGAGCCATTATTTTTTACTTTAGACAGAATTTTTCAAGTACTGTGTATTTTTTGACCAGTAGCATTTCCTTAGACACTTTAAGAGTTAGTTGGTAATTCATAAATAAATTCTTTTATGACTTCTTAAAACTTTTTTAAAAGTATGTATATATTTATTTCCTAAGAGAGACAGGAAGGCAGGCAGGTACCCTTGACAGGGCCTTCATGCTGAGATCCTTCCCATGCCCTGCAGGATCATGAGTGCATTGAAGGAGACCCGAGATGTGAACCCAGAGCCTTGCCACAAGGTCTCCAGCATCACACAGCAATGCCCCTGCTGCCTGTGCCAGTGCAGCTGGGCCTCCTAAGGCTTTTGATGCAGTTCCCTTAACTAGTTAGTTGAGTTAGGAATGTTTTCTGTTGAAATTGTTCTTTTGACACCTAGGTTTATTAACATGGTATTTTAGAGTAGGCTCAAATAATATATTATTTATTCAATTCATTGATGAATGCATCAGAATTTGCTATAACTGAATACTTATACTTAATAAGTAGTGTGGAATACTGGCAATTTTCAAGCTAATGTTGAGGATAGTCTCCTTTACTTAATATACCTTTCTCGTGTTCTCTCTCGCACTCTCTTTCTGGTGAATTAAAATAATAATAATAAATAAACTTAAATAAGTCATTCTTTTTAAAAAATACTGTTGAATGAAAAATTTGCTTTTTTTCCTTCATTGTCCTACCTGTAATACTGAGGGTAAGTTATGTAGCTACATACTTCTTATGTAGATAAGAAGTACTGCTCAGTACTTATTATTTTTATATACTACTAGGATTTCTGTAGTTAAATCATCAGATCTTGGAACATTGCTCTTACTTCCTTAAAAGTCACAGTGAAGATCTTAGGTCACACTGCTCCTATATGACCAAAGGAGAAATATCATATTCATCTCTAGTATTCCTGTCCTTATGCTGAAGAATTAATAACTAGTTTCAGTCTTTAGCCTTTGGAATTGTGCTTTAACAAATACATTCTTGGTTGTATAGAAGTGATCGGCTGGTAACCATATACGAACTCAAATAATAAAGTAAAAAAACTGTACATGGGGTAATTGTTATTTTTAATTGCTTGACCCTGGATTTTTGTTTGAGTAAAAATCTACTTAATTGGGGACCAGCAGTTGGCATAATGGCTATTTACTGACTCCATGTAGTCGACCGCGGTTTGAGTCCTGGATCCAGTGGCTTAAATTCATGCTGGGTGCGTGTGCATGTGTGCCCAAGATCCTGAGAAGAGAATGGAGGAGAAGGGATTGTGGCATGGCCATCCCCCCTGGGGGGCGATTTCTCGCTTTCTGTTTCTCTGTCTCTCTCTGTCTTTCTGACGAGTGCACACGCCCTATAGCAAAAACCTCTCAAAAAAAAAAAAAAAATCTACTTGTTTGTTTTTCTATCTTTGTTAAAATATGAGTTACTTTACTATATAACTCTCTAAAATATGGACATTTCCTACTTTCGGTACTTTGAAAGTATCGGGTCAGCAATTAGAAATGCTTAGGTGATACACTGTAGAGATGACCATCAGGTCACTCTTAATGCTGTTGCTTAACTACTAGGTTAACTACTTACTATCCATGTTGACTTAGACTTCTTTGCCTGTCCTTGATCTGATTTGCTTTTGCTATTTATTTCCCGTATTTCTACTCACCATGTCATGTAACAGTAAAATGTTAAAGATGCTTATTTAATTGTTTTCTAAAATATTTAGTGGTTTTTGTTTTGTGTTATTGACAGGATACAAATAGTTGGATTTTTGGCTGCATCAATAGCACGTCCATGTGGTAAGTCTTTTGAACCTATGACAGCCCATTGTTTATTTTTCTGTAAAATAAACAATAATCAGAAATCACACTTTTAGAATAGCTTTATGCATTCTTATATTCAGTTTGCTTCTATATTAATTGTAGTAGTGATTTTGAAATGAAAAGTAAAGGAAATAAATATACTAGTGATTTTTGCAAGTATTGAAAATGTTGGGTCATTGGAAAAATCATAATGTATTTTTCTATTTTTTTTTATACAAAATGCATCATGACTTTTTCAACAACCCAATAGTTGTTAGGAAAAAGTTTCCTTTATTGCCAAGAAAACTATATGGACAAGTGTATTGGATTAGACTTTTTAGATTTAGCTCTTTATAACACTCTCTAGTAGAGCTATAGATGGTTTCTTCTTTTTCCTGAAGCTTATTTATAATTCATAGTAGTTCAATATATGAGTCCTTTAATTATATTTTGATATTTTTTTCAAAGCCGTCAAGGGGTCGATTTATCATGGAAAGCTGAACTGCTGCCTACAATTAAGGTAAATTATGACCTTAGAATTTTAATATTCAGGTGAAAAAATACCTAAACCTGTAGACATTTTAAAATTTGTTCTTTTTATTAATTTATCTAAGTACTAAATAAGTTTGAGACTTGATAACCTACATTTTAGAAATTTTTCCTCTAGAAATGTATTTGAGAGAGAATAACATGTAGTTTGTGTTTTGTTTTTTTTTTAACTTTCAAAGATCAAAACTAAGTTAGCAAGTTAGCAGTCCTCCAGATCTCTATGTTAGTTCGTCAGAAACATCATGACACATTTTTCTTTCTCTTTTTTTTTTTTTGGAGAGGTTTTTGCTGTAGGGTGTGTACGCTTGCCAGACAGACAGAGAGAGACAGAGAAACAGAAAGCGAGAAATCACCCCCCAGGGGGGATGGTCACGCTGCAATCCCTTCTCCTCCATTCTCCTCTCGGGATCTTGGGCACACACGCACACGCGCCTGGCGTGAGTTTAAGCCACCGGCTCCGGGACTCGAACCATGGTCGACTACATGGGAGTCCAGCGACATAGCCATTATGCTAACTGTTGGTCCCGCATTTTTCTTTTTTAAAAAAATAATTTTATTTTATTCATTATCATTATTATTACTATTATTTTAATTTGACCAGAGAGAGACAGAAAGAGGGAAAGTGAGAAAGCAAGCCACCAGGTCTGGGACCCAAACTGAGGTCAGCCATATGGCAGTCCAGCACCTCAATCGTCACACTATCTGCCAGCCCCATGACATATTTTTCTGTTTTTTAATGCAAAAATACATCGTGACTTTCCCAACAACCCAGTATTATAGCATGATACCAAAAGAGCTAGATAAGTGCTTTTTTATCAATTATTTTTATTTAATTCTATTATTATTTTTCAATTTGATCAGAGAGAAAGGGAAAATGAGAAAACAAGCTGCCAGGTCCAGGACTTGAACCACAGTCAGCCATGTGGGAGTCCGTATCTTCTTCCAGAAAAAAACAATAGAAAACTTGTTCTGTGACTTGGCTTTTTATTACAAAGACTAGTCTTCTACCTTTTTATTCCTTAAAATGTGAACTGTAGGATCTGGTCTTAATTTTGAGAAGAGAATAGTCATTCATTTGATGAGGTACATCACTAGCCATATTGTTTCTGTCATTTACTTAAATTAATTCCAGGGGATGATAGTCATCTATACTACTAGCCAGCAATTCTTTACTACTTAGACCAGATCAAAATAATTTAAGATTAAATTGTGGGGCTGGCAGGTGGTGTGGTGGTTAAGGGCACTAGACTCCCACCTACATGGCTGACCACAATTCAAGACCCGTACCTAGCAACTTTCTTTCCCACTTTCCTTTTCTCTTTCTCTGGTCAAATTGAAAAATAATAACAGATGAATAAATAAGTAAATTCATTCATTCAGCAAATGTTGAATGCTCTGTCGTATTATTCCAAAATAAATATAAAAATAGCACTGTAATGCTATATGTAGCCAAATTACAAAAAGAAGGATACCAAATTTGGAAATAGCTATGTAACTACATAAAATAATCAAGTGTCATTTGTTTTATGTAAACAGGTCTATATAGGTCTGTATTTAACATAATTATATAGATCTATATAGGTCTATATTTAACGTAATTATTAAGAATTTTACTTTCAGGACCAGCAGTTAGCGTAATAGCTATGTTGCTGGACTCCCATGTAGTTGACCATGGTTCAAGTCCCGGACCTGGTGGCTTAAAACTCACGTCAGGTGCGTGTGCGTGTGTGCTCAAGATCCCGAGAGGAGAAGGGATTGCAGCGTGGCCATCCCCCCTGGGGGGGTGATTTCTTGCTTTCTGTCTCTCTGTCTGATGAGCGCATGCACCCTAAAGCAAAAACCTCTCCAAAAAAAAAAAAAAAAAGAATTTTACTTTCAGCAGAATTATTGACCTGAAAATTTAAACATGTTTAAATTTTATGAAGTACTGAACAAAACTTGAAACTGCTTTTTAAAATAACTTATTAAAGGGACCAGCAGTTAGCGTAATGGCTATGTTGCTGGACTCCCATGTAGTCAACTGCGGTTTGATTCCCGACCCAGTGGCTTAAACTCACGCCGGGCGCGTGTGCGTGTGTGCCCAAGATCCTGAAAGGAGAATGGAGGAGAAGGGATTGCGGCTTGGCCGTCCCACCTGGGGGATGATTTCTCGCTTTCTGTCTCTCTGTCCCTCTCTGTCTTTCTGGTGAGCGCACGCACCCTATAGCAGAAACCTCTCCAAAAAAAGAAAGAAAAAAAAACTCATTAGATAGGAAGTATTTGTAATTAATTTTTATTTTAACATGCATTAATGTCTGTATACCATAAGAAATAAAAGCAACTTTTTATCTTCATCTTTTTTTAGTCTCTGATGTTAAGACTTCAAGACTACCCATCTCTGTCTCATCTTGTTGTTTATGTGCCATCTGTTCATGGAAGTAAGGTAACAGATGGGTTACGGTTGTTACTAGAATGTTTTGGGGATGCTTATGCTAAATTTTGAAATTATCTTTTTGATGAGTACTACATAGGGCTTATCTAAAATAATGCCCAGTTTGCTGACCCACCTAAGACTTAAATCATAAAGATCATCTACTTCAACTTGAACTAAGCAGAATAAATCCAGGTTCTTTTGTTCTACGTAAGAACTGGTCCTAGCTTAGCTCTAAGTCTTTCAAAATCTGTTATAAAGAACCTTTTATACAAGGTATATCAGGAATTATATGAGACACTGTAATAATGAAGACATTAACTCTGTTCCTAGAAAGCTATATACTCTTGGATAGCGGTAGAGAAATACATTTGGGACAAAAGTAAAGAAGGAGGGGAAAAAGTACCCAAATATATGTAATGCAAAGCAGAATAGATCAAGGCCCTGAACAGTGTAAAAGGGAGAGATAATCACTTATTGATGAAATCAAGAGTGGCTTTATCACAAAGTGATATTTAAAATGGCCTTTAAGGATAATTAGAATTTGTAAAGGTAGAATGAACATTCTAAACCTTCAGTTTGGGAATCACTAGTTCATGTGGCCGTTTCCATTTAAATTAATTAAATTAAAATAAAAAATTTAGTTCCTTAGTTGTACTAGCCACATTCTAGATGCCCAACACTTTATATCATTGCAGAAAGTTATAATGGACAATGCTGCTTAGACAAGGGGCAGGGAAAGCAAAGCATGGAGATGTGAAAGCCTGGGGGATGTTTGGAAAACAGTGAATAGGTAAATATTTTGAGAGGTTGGCCATCATGGGTAGAAGAGGCGTGAAAGACAAGTTGGGAAAAATGGTTCATGGTCATGTTGTGGAGGCCTTGACTGGAGGACTTCCTACATTCAGGAGTCAGTAGTAAGATTCTTCACCATAATAATAATGGGATCAGTGATACCTTATTATTTTTTAAGAGAGATTTTTGCTACAGGGCGTTTGTGCTCACCTATGAGACAGATAAAAAATGAGAAATCACCCCCTGGGGGGATGGCCATGCCACTATCCCTTCTCCATTTTCCTCTTGGGATTTTGTGAGTTTTAAGCAAGTGCCCAGTATGCATTTTAGGCCGCCTCTCCAGGACTTGAACCACAGTCAACTATGTGGGAGTCTAGCAACAATCATTACACCATCTGCTGGTCCCAAGGATAACTTATGGAGGTTAATCTGTTCATGGGTTAGGAGGGCTTATACTAGGGAAACAAGAACAGATAAAAAAGGATGATGATTTTAAGAGTATTACTGTGGAAGTAAGAGGATGGAGGTAAAATCCCCCTAAATTTCCCTTCCCCTTATTTCACCCAGCAATTTATTCTTTACAATACAACCTAGGTGTCCCTCCTTACCTTTCTGGACTCCTCCAATGACCTTTCCTTCCATGGTACTTTGTTTATAATTTTATTGAGAAATTTATTTCATCAAATTCTAATTTGTTTTTATCTCTATTGCCATCACTAAATTGTGAAATTTTTGAGAGTAAGAACCAGATAGATTTTATTCTATTTTGCATTCTTTTTTTTTTTTTTTTTTTTGGAGAGGGTTTCGCTAACAGGCGCTCGCCAGACAGACAAAGAGGCGTGTGCGCTCGCCAGACAGACAAAGAGAGAGACATAGAGACAGAAAGCGAGAAATCACCCCCCAGGGAGGATGGTCACGCCGCAATCCCTTCTCCTCCATTCTCCTCTCGGGATCTTGGGCATGCACGCACACGTGCCCGGCGTGAATTTTAAGCCACCGGGTCCGGGACGTGAACCGCGGCCGACCACGTGGGAGTCCAGCGACATAGCCATTACGCTAACTGCTGGTTCCCCTATTTTGCATTCTTGACCATTAGTGACTACCACATAAATGCTCAAAAATTTTTTTCTTGAGAAAGTTGATGACATTTATGGCCAAAATAATTAGGAAATTTTTAAAGAAACAGAGAAAGGAAAAGGGGGATGTAGTTGGGAGTCATCTCAAAGACTAAATCTCATCTCAAAGACTAAGTACCTTATAATGGATTCATTGTTTTGTTTTGCTTAGCTCAAGTGAGAGGTAATTCAACATCTTCAATACTAAAAGCTCTCTTTAAGGGTTTTTCTGTCAGGTAAGTTGGCTTTGAATGAATCTAACATCTTCCCCAATCTTGAAAAGGCCCTCTGGTTATTTCAAGAACTTAATGAGCCATCTGCAAATAGTCTTAGTAGCCTAATAAATATGAAGTATGTTTTAATGCTCTTTGGAAGATAACATGACTCTACTCTTGCACAACCCATTTACACCAGAATGAGAACGAAGGTCTTTTCTGTCTGTGTTATAGCCCATCATTAGAAGGCTACATAAATTCAAATAGGCAATGTTTAAAAAATAATAAATTGAGGTAATTGGTTTCTTAATTATTTTTAGAAATGCAAATATGGAATTATCTTTATTTTTTTAGTGACAGGAAACAAAATAATTAAATCCATAAGTTCACTGACCTAGGATGTTTCAGAGACAGACCTTTCAATTCTCTGTTGGGTAAAGATTTATTCTGTTACATAAAACTATAGGCACAGGCACATTTTTAAAGCAGTAATAATAATTCAATTATTTTAAGTTCCTATACAAAGTAATTTAAGTTGCTTTTATTTTTTTAAAAAATTATTTATTTTTATTTTGCTTTTATTATTATTTTGTTTTAACTTGAACAAAGAGAGACAGAGAAAGAACGAAAGGAAAAGTAAGAAAGCAAGCCACCAGGTCTGGGACTCAAACCGTGGTTGATGATGTGGGAGTCCAGTACCTTAACCACTGTGCCACTTATCTGCCCCTTAATTGCTTTTAAAAACTGCTTCCCAACTTCAAGTAATGAGTCACCCAAAAATACTTTGTAAAAATATAATGAGTAATCTTGTTGAATCAATTATTTCTCTTTTCTATAATGAAATTATCTATGTGCTTTGCCTTGTAGGTAAAGAGGGAGAAATAAAAACAATTTTTCATTTTATTCCCCCATGTGTGTACTATAATCTATTAGTGATTTTCCTCATCTTTTTTTTTTTTATCAGAAACTAAAAAAATCCATCTAGGAGTTGGATAAAATAACACTGTTTCAAACACACTCAAGATTTAGTCAGAAAAGCCAAGGATAGAAACCATTGGCTTCTCCACTGTCTATAGATAGCAAATATTTGGTAGCTACAGTTAGGAATCAGATTAATTTTTTTCAGCTCCTGTAAATCTAAATAACTTGATTGTATTATGAAGACTATTTTAATGAAATTGTGCTCTTACTTTAATAGAAGCAGTTCTTCTTGAAAATAACTGAGAACAAAATGTTTTATGTAGTTGCAGAATTGTTATTAAAAAAGAAATGTCAGTTCAAAAAGTATAATGGTGCAGATGTCACATTATAGGCTTGCTTTTTGAAAAGCATTTCTTTTTTTTTTTTTGCTTCAGACATAGTGTTCCTCCCGACTATAATATCTGCTTACCCTGAAATAATAACACATGAATAGCATTAGCTACCTTTAAATGAATGGCAGTATGTCTCCAAAAGCCTTTTGTAGTCTAGACTATATTTAGTAAATGTAGGATTTTTTTATAGTTAATTTTTGCATGTCCTCTATGAGCAAGAAAGACAGAAACAGCATCTCCAAGAGGGTACCCACACTATAACCTACCCTCAGCTTCAGCAGACCCAGATCATGGGCACATGCATGTCCAGTGTACTCAAAGAGGTGTCTGGATATGAACCCAGAACCTTTCCAAGTGGGTCAGTCTCACAGAGCTTTGCGTTTTACCATTTCCTAACTGCCTGGCCCTTAAATAAGGATATTTTTTTTTTTAAAGATATGTAACAAAAGCACATTTTCTTTTGACTATGAAAGTATTCTAAGATAATATTATCTAAATTCCTGTTTAGTCTTGGCTCATAATGCTTTGATCCATCCTCTAATGTCATCTTCTACAAGCACCTAAAACTAACAGAAAACTTTGCTCTGAATCTATTGATATAGAAATGACCCTCTGATAATCCATCTATGTGATTAAGTTTAGGTTGTTTTTCAAGTTTTCTCAACATAGCATCTCTCCTTGAGAAATTCTTGCCACCTCGGTATGGACAAGTACAGTGAAATAGGCAATACTTTCTCCAAAGCTTAGATTTATAGACTTATTTTCTACTCAAACATGGAGTAAAGATATTTTGCTATAAATTTAATCCTACTTTTTCTAATAAATCAATGTTTTATATTTCAGTTTGTTGTAGATTGTGAATTCTTTAAAAAAGAAACAAGGTCCTTACAGCTTCCTGTAACTCATCTTTTTTCTTTTGGTAAGTACAGCATGGTGTTTCAGAAATTTTTGTAAGTCAATCTAGTTTTCTTCTGAGAGACAGAGACAGACAGATAGACATACCCAACAGGGTCCTCATGCTATAGTCCACTCTCAGTCTTAGCTGGCTAGAACATGGACACATGCATTCCTTCCTAGTGAACCCAGTGAGGTCCTGTAACATGAACCTAGGACCTTTCCCATGTGAGTCCACTTGGATAACCACTGGGCCCCTACGTGTGGAAATATTTATAATTTTAATTTTTATTACATTGCTAGCTTATTTCGCCAGTTAGTTATAGTACGGCAGAGCCTTGTAACATTAAATATTGTATATTTCAAGTGTATTTCTGAGAATAACTATTTGATGTGATTTGATTCTCATTTCTTATTGGGCCAGCAATCTGTCATCTTCTGAGAAGTGAACTTTAAAAGTAATTTCTCCATGATAACTAGATATGCAGATAATTGTGTATGTGTCTTTTCTTATGTAAAATTTATCTTGAATGTTGGCTGTTCTAATAAAATTTATATTATAGAATATAAATTGTGCTCTTCTTTGTGACAGTTTCAAGATTTCTCTAAATATTCTTTTTTTTTAAAGAGAGATTTTTACTATAGGGTCTGTGCGCTCTCCTGCAAGACAGAGAGAAAGAAAGTGAGATCTCGCCCCCAGGAGCATGGCTACACTACAGTCCCTTTTTCTCCTTTCTCCTTTCAGGATTTTGGGCATGCACGCACATGTGCCTGGCATGAGTTTCAAGCCTCCATGGCCGGGACCCAAACTGCAGTCAGCCATGTGGGAATCCACTGTCTTAGCCACCATGTCAGCCCTCTAAATATTTTTTTAAACTTTATTTTGAAACAATTTTAGACTTATATAAAAGTTATAACAGTAAAGAGTTCTTTTGTATCCTTTACCAAACTTTCTATACTGTTGACGTCTTACATAAACACAATTCAGCTTTAAAAAGAAATTAACACTAGGACCATCAGGTGGTATAGTGGTTGGAGCGCTGGACTCATACGTGGTTGACTGCAGTTCGAGTCTTGGCCCCAGCGGCCTGAAACTTAAGCAGGGCACGTGTGCTTGCATGCCGAGAATCCCAAGAAGAGAATAGAGGAGAAGGCACTGGGACATAGCCACCTCTCCTGGGAGATGATTTCTCACTTTCTGTCTTTGTCTCTCTATGCCTCCAGCAAGTGCTCACACCTTATAGCAAAATTCTCTCAAAAATAAAAAATCCATAGGCATCATTTTAATGTTATTTAAGCAATCAGCTAGTAGGGTGTTTTAAAAATATTTATTTAATTTTATTTATTTATTTTTTTTAATTCACCAGAGAAAAATAGAAAGAGAGGTAAAATGAGAAAGCAAGTGGGGACTCAGATTGTACTTGGCCATTTGGGAATCCAGCACCTTAACCACCATGCCACCTGGTGGCCCCCAATCAGTAATTTTTAAAAATCTTTGATAATCTAAGTAATACAGTACCTTTACTTCAACAGGATTCTCTTCAAGGAAAGTGATTTTAAATGCAAGTGGTCTCTACTACAATATAGAGCTTTTGAACTTTGGGCAGGTAATTATTCTGACTACAAGAAGCATTTGATTTTATCATTACTGTTTACTTAAACAAAAAATAAACTTTTGTTTCTTGTTTTTGTGATCAAATTATAGATATACCAAGCTTTTAAAATCAACGTGGTAAGCAAGTGCTCAGGAGTCAAAGGTAAATGTATTTCCTGAAAAATAATAGTATTGTCATTTAAAAATCAATAGGTCTTCAGTTGAATTTTCTGTAATACTTAATTCTACAATATATATGTTTATGAAAATTAAAATGTACGATAATAGAAAAGATGCTTATATCTTCAAGGTATTTAACATAATCCATTTCTTAATAGTAAAAGCAGGTTCATCTATTTCAGTTTTGGTTTTTTGTTTTTATTTTGAGAGGTTTTTCACTATAGGCGTGTGCGCTCGCCAGACAGACAGAGACAGAGAGATAGAAAGCGAGAAATCACCCCCCAGGGGGGATGGTCACACCGCAATCCATTCTCCTCTCGGGATCTTGGGCACGCACGCACACGCGCCCAGTGTGGGTTTTTTTTTAAGCCACCGGGTCCGGGACTTGAACTGTGGTCGACTACGTGGGAATCCAGTGACATAGCCATTATGCTAACTGCACTGCTGGTTCCCAGTTTTGTTTTTGTTTTTGTTTTTTTGGAGAGGTTTTTGCTATAGGGCACATGTGCTCTCCAGAAAGACAGAGAGAGAGCAAGAAATCACCCCCCAGGGGGATGGCCACACCGCAATCCCTTCTCCTCCATTCTCCTCTCGGGATCTTGGGCATGTATGCACACACGCTCGGCGTGAGTTTAAGCCACCAGGTCCAGGACTCAAACCGTGGTTGACTACATGGGAGTCCAGCGACACAGCCATTACACTAACTGCTGATCCCCATCTATTTCAGTTTTAATAGACACATTTTAAGGGACTGGCAGGTGGTATGGTGGTTAGGGTACTGAATTCCCACATGGCCGACCGCAGTTCAAGTCCCAGACCTGGCAGCTTGATTTCTTACTTTGCCTTTCTTTCTCTCTCTCCATCTCTGGTCAAATTTAAAAAATAACCAATAGCAAATAAAATTAAATAAATTCTTTTAAAAAATACATGCACATTTCAGAAATGCTATATATCTTTATGGCTTTTTTCAGTAGTAATTCAGGGTTAGCTTAATATTTTTCCCAGCAGTTAATGTAATGGCTATGTCGCCAAACTCCCATGTAGTCTACCACGGTTCGAGTCCCGGGCCCGGTGGCTTAAACTCACAACGGGCGCGTGAGTGTGCGTGCTCAAGATCTCGAGAGGAGAATGGAGGAGAAGGGATTGCGGCGTGACCATCCCCCCTGGAGGGTGATTTCTCACTTTCTGTCTCTCTGTCTCTGTCTTTCTGGCTAGCGCACATGCCCCATAGCAAAAATCTCTCAAAAAATATATTTTTTTTTTCATTGCTCGTGTGGTTTAATATCTTTTGTAAGTCCAAATAAATTTTTAAAGAATTTCCATAATTTCTTATCGTGTGATATATTGATTACTTTTTACAGAATGGGCAATTGCATAATTATTAGTTAGTTATTATAATAGCTTATGTAACGTTATGGTAAATATGGTTAATAATATTTACTTTGTGTTTTAACAGAGGAGATAACTAGTATATATAAACTTCATATTCCCTGGTCTTATGAAGATTCACTAACTATTGCACAGTAAGTATATGAAAGAGTTTACCTTAAACTTTGGTGGTTTTGAATAATAGATAATCTGCTTAATTTATTTTTGTAAATCATATGAGTTATTAAGGTACATCTTAGTAAAATGTATGTATCTTTATAGAGCACATAATTTAAGATGATACACTACAAAAAGATAATATACTGTATTTTTATTAAGTGAAATAGGACTTAAACCTTACTTGTTTGAAACATGAACACTTTCTACCTTTTCCTCTAACTCCTGTGATATCTCTGAAGAAGTATCTATAATGTGCCAGCATCTAACTTCCTCTGTAGTATTTCATTGTAATGATAGACTTAGCCATGGCCATTTACCAGCAATTTGTATTTGAGAGTTGATACTTAACCTTTTCAGGGTTCCATCTTCCACAGAAATATCTCTGAAACTCCATATTGCTCAGCCAGAAAATGACAGCCATGTGGCACTATTAAAAATGTACACATCATCAGACTGTCAGTATGAGGTATGTTGTATATTTTTGTGTAATCCCTAAGTAATATTTAGTTATAGAATAAGCTAGAAAAAATGCTTTAATTATTTATTTATCATTATTTTTTAATTTGCTACAGGGTGTGTTCACCAGAGATTGAGTAGGGGAAGAAAGAGAGCCTTGAGAGAGAGAGAGAACACTGCCAGGTCCAGAACTTGAACCATGGTCAGCCATGTGGGAGTCCAGCACCTTAGCCACCATGCCACCTGCTTGCCCAAGCTAGAAAATTTTTTTAATATTAGCCTCAGATATGTGGTTATATGGAAGCCAATAAGTAGAAGTAAACATTTAAAATATTTTAAATGGGATCAGCAGATGGTGTAATGGTTACATCACTGGACTCCCATGTAGTTGACCACGGTTCTAGTCCAGGTCCTAGTGACTTAAAACTCACACCAGGAGCATGTGCATCTGTGCCCAAGATCCCGAGGAGAATGGAGGAGAAGGGATTGTAGTGTGGTCATCCTCCCTGGCGGGGGGTGGGGGTGTTTCTCACTTTCTGTCTCTCTGGTGAGTGCTCATTTTAAACATTCACTATCTTATCTATTAGCACCACTTCAGTTCTTTCTTTAATAAGTAGAGTATTTGAAAATGTATACTACCTTTTTTTTTTAATTTGCCATAGGGCACATACATTTGATCAGGTAGAGAGAGGGAGAGAAAGTTAGTGAGAAAACTCTCTCTATACAGGGGTGGGCAAACACTCACATGCCCCCATTTTCAAGCCACTTGGCGCCAGACTTGAACTGTACAGTCAACTAGGTGGGAGCCAGCTGCCTTAACCACCACACCACCTGCTAGCCTAAATACAAATATATCTTAATAAGTAATAGAAAATAAAAATTGAGACTATAAATCAACTTTCTTAATTTAGAAGCCTAAAGTCCACAATCTTCTATAAATTAAAGAATATCATGTAATCAACTGACATGGTAACTATAGTAACTCATATGATGTCTACTAGGAACGTCTTTCCTTTTCACTGGTTATTTTAAGCTCTGTTATTTATTTATTTATTTTTTTTTTTTGAAGAGGTTTTTGCTATAGGGTGCATGCACTTACCAGAAAGACAGAGAGAGACAGAGAGACAGAAAGCAAGAATTCACTCCCCAAGGGGGATGGCCACACCACAATCCCTTCTCCTCCATTCTCCTCTTGGGATCTCCTCCAGTCTCCCACACGCGCCCAGCGTGAGTTTAACTACCGGGTCCGGGACTCAAATGGCGGTTGACTACATGGGACTTCAGCAACATAGCCATTATGCCAACTGCTGGCCCCTTAAGTTCTCTTATTAATATGTACGACTTAGTACCTGTTTGGTTTGTTTTAAATTCAAAGTAGATATCTTTGTCCTAAGACAAGAGAAATAGACTTAAGAGTAATATTTTATTTACTTATCATATCATGAACTAAGTGTCCTTCTCTATATCAGAGCATGCAAATTGCAAGGATTTCAGATTGAGGTGATTAAATATGCCTTTCAGGGGTAGTGACTTCACAGGCTTTGATTTATGCAAAATAGCTTATTTCTGCTCAACTGTTTTAAGCCAAGCTTAAATATTCAGATTCTTTACTACCACTAACTTTCTTAGGGCAAGCTGAGATTGGTATTGTCAAATTAATAGAATCTGTTATTACAACGAAGTTTCAGTTGGACCTATATTAGGAATTACTTTATATTTCATGGAATTTAGAATTATTTTCTATTTTTGGTTCTATTTCTAAAAAAGGATTAGAAGAGTTTTCTAGAACTAAAATTGTTTTCAACTTGATGTTCATAGTGATAGTAGGAATAGCATTAATGTTTTGGCTCCAGATCTGTCCCCATAGTCTAGTGGTTCAGGGAGCCAGATGCCACGTGACTGACCACAGTTTGAGTCTCATCCCTATTGGCTTGAAAAACACACTGTGCGGAACCAGCATTTAGCGTAATGGCTATGTCGCTGGACTCCCACGTAGTCAACCGTGGTTCGCGTCCTGGACCCGGTGGCTTAAAACTCACGCCGGGCGCGTGTGCATGTGTGCCCAAGATCCCGAGAGGAAAATGGAGGAGAAGGGATTGCGGCGTGACCATCCCCCCCTGGGGGGTGATTTCTCGCTTTCTGTCTCTATGTCTCTGTCTGGCAAGCGCATGCGCCCTATAGCAAAAAACCTCTCCAAAAAAAAAAAGAAAAGAAAAACACACTGTGCATATTGCATGCATACCCAAAATCTCGACAAAGTAGTAATGGTGAAGGGATTACAGCATGACCATACCCCACTGGGTGGGGGGGGGAATGTTCTCCCTCTCTCTGTCTCTGTCTGCATGCATACCCAAAATCTCGACAAAGTAGTAATGGTGAAGGGATTATAGCATGACCATACCCCACTGGGTGGTGGGGGGATGTTCTCCCTCTCTCTTTCTCTGTCTTTTTCTCTGGTGAGCATATGTACCCTCCAGCAATTTAAAATAATAATAATTATAATTTGGCTCCCAAAGCTGTATGCTCTTGAAATATCTGTTTATACAAATGCTGCATATTTTCAGAAAGTACATATTTTGACAAAATATGGTCATTTTATAGCATCCCTAATAAAAGCATTATTTCCTTTCCCCAGACTTCCTAATGTCCAAGAAAATTTTAAAAAGTGTTTTATGGTATAGATAATTAAGGTTGAATTTCTTCTGAAAGTATCATTTTGCCTTAAATTTCTTCCACCAGCATGAGTTGGTAATAAGAGATTCTGGTTAGCTAAATATTCTAATTAGTAATTACCACACTTACTGTGCTAGTCCTCTAATTGTCAGAGAATTAGAATATGGGGAAATACAGTAAGTAGTAGCACTACACATTATATAATTTAAATGGTGGTTCATAAAATTCTTTAAGATCTTGAGTGCTTTTAGATATATCATTACAAAACATTAATTATTAAACTTAGAAATATGCAGAAGCACTCAATTTAATAAAGCATGAACCAGAAGAGTTTAGAGAAGATAACCTTCTTTTTTTAATTATTAATTGTTTTAAACTAGGTGACAGTGAAGACTTCCTTTTCACAAATACTTGGACAGGTAAGAGACGCTCCTCGTTGACTAATTTATTGCCTCATGAATAGATACTACAAAGCAGGGGGTACAAACTTCTCTGTAAAGAGTCAGATAATCAGTTATTAAGCAGAACACATCCAGTCTTTTTTATTGCTGCAACTGCTTCTTTTCTCTTTTGCCTTTTTTCTTCTTTATTCTTCAACTTAAATAATATCTAAAACCATTCTTGGCTCACAGTCCAAAGTCAGCCAACCTCCTCTTTAACGTGATCCTTTCATGTTTTATGTATCCTAGAAATGAGAGATGTCACCTGGTTCTTAAACAAATTAATTTTTGTGTGAATGAATGTTGTTGTAGTAAGACTTTCATGTTGTTCATACTACACTGTAAGTTATAGTGTAATAAAATCTATTGACTGTCATATAAATGACCATTTTTCAAAGACTTTTTTATGTTGTGCATGCTCTGTTTGTAAAAGGTAAAATAAATTCTATTAAAAGTAAATATGCAGACTTCATTTACAAGTAATGTTATAAAAGCAATGTGTCATCAGTAGATCTATGATGATGTTATTTGACATCATTAGAATTGGCAGAATTATGCAGCCTAGACATAAATAAGATAATATTGGTCAGGAACATTGTAGTTATAAAATTCAATAAAATTTGTATTATAGCTTTTGTTACTTTTACTTTTTTAACCTGTTTTATTTTTCAATCTTGGTGTATTGGAATTTTTTTTTTACTTTAAGTCACTTAGTACTTGAATGTTAAAATGAATAAGTAGAAGTCTTTTTTTTATGTATGTTATCTCATTTGTTTATCACAACAACCTGGTGAGAAGTAGATTGGTTATTACATTTGTGAACATTACAAAATTCTAAGTTAATATATAAAATCTTAATTGTAAATTAGGAAGTGTCTTATATGTTAGTAAATTGGAAAATAGCATTGTTGGTAGTTACAATAAGTATACTAAAATGTTAAGGGACTTTTTTTTTTTTTTTTCTTTGCTATAGGGTACACACACCCACTAGAAAGACAGAGAGACAGACAGAAGGCAAGAAATCACCCCCCAGGGGGGATGGCCATGCCACAATCCCTTATTGTCCAGTCTCCTCTTAGGATCTTGGCCACACATGCACATGTGCCTGGCATGAATTTAAGCCACTGGATCTGGGACTTGAACCGTGGTCGACTACATGGGAGTCCAGCAACATAGGAATTATGCTAACTGCTTGTCCCAGGGGACTGATTTTTTTTTTTTGAAGAATTATTTTACTTTATTTTATTCATTATTATTAATATTTTTTTATTTTACCAGAGATCAACAGAGAGGGAGAGAGAGAGAAGGAAAGGTGAGAAAGTAAGCCACCAGGTCTGGGACTCAAACCATGGTCGTTTATGTGGGAGTCCAGCACCTTAACCAGTATGCCACCTTCTGGCCCCAGGACTAATTATATTTTTAAAGAATTATTTATTTAATTTCATTCGTGATTATTATTTTTAAGTTTGTTACAGGGCACAGACACTCACTAGAGAGAAAGAGAGGGAAAGTGACTAAATAAACTGCCAGATCCAGGACTCGAACTGCAGTCGGTCTTGTAGGAGTCCAGCCCCTTAACCACCATGCTACCTGCTGGTCCCAAGGAACTAATTTGCATATTATCTCTTGAGGACTGGCAGGTGGTGTGGTGGTCATGGCTTTGGACTACTCCCACATGGCTGGCCATAGTTCAAGTCCCAGACCTTTAGCTTGACACATGCATCAGGTGCATGTTCATGTGTTCCCAAAATCCCAGGTGGAGAATGAAAGAGAAGGGATTATGGCATGGCCATCCTTCCTTGGGAGTGATTTCTCACTTTTTCTCTTTTGGTCTTCCCAACAAACCCATGCACCCTATGACAAAAACCTTAAAGAAAAAAAATAATTAAAATAATTATCTTTTATAATATGTGGAAAGCATTCATGCTCTTGTGTTTTTAGTATGTTTCAAAGGTTATGTGACTGAACATGGTGGTTTGGGTTAAGGATATACTGTGCCTCCATAATTCAGATTAGTGACAAAAAAAGTCAAGTCTGCTTAATGTGCTATAGTCAAGTATAATTGCACAAAAGGGGATGGACTAATATTCTTATTAAAATGTGGAAATCTTTCCAAAAAGTAAGGATATAAAGGTATTACACGATTAGAGGTACTTTTTAAAACATCAAGTAAAGGGGGATCAACAGATTGTGTAATGGTTACATTGCTGGATTCCCACATTGTTGACCATGGTTTGAGTCCCAGACCTGGTGGCTTAAAACCCACACCAGGCGTGTGTGCCCAGAATCCCAAAAAGAGAATGGAGGAAAAGGGACTGTGACCATCCTCACTGAGGGGTGATTTCTCATTTTGTGTTTCTCTGTTTTTTCCCTGTCTCTCTGACAAACACAAACACCCTATAGCAAAATCTCCCCCCCAAAAAAAAAATTTTTTTTAATAAAATAAAAGTTTATGGTAATTGAAAATTAAGTTCCTCTCAGATTAATTAAAATAAATAAGATGCTCTTCATTCTTATTTTAAAATTGGCTCATGGACAGTAGGAGAATAAATTAAAGTTGTATAATAAATCATATTTATTTTTAAATCTTTTTTTGTCTTTTTTTTTTTTTTGGTCTTTTTTTGGAAAAGTTTTCGCTATAGGGTACATGTGCTCACCAGACAGAGAGACAGAAAGCGAGAAATCACCCCCCAGCAGGGATGGCCATGCTGCAGTCCCTTCTCCTCCATTCTCCTCTCAGGATCTTGGGCACGCACTCACACGCGCCCAGTGTGAGTTTAAGCCACTGGGTCCAAGACTCGAACCATGGTCAACTACATGGGAGTCCAGCGACATAGCCATTACACTAACTGCTGGTCCCACTTAAATCTCATTTTTTTATAACACATTTTTGAATAGTGCTGAGTCAGTTACAGGAGACTGTGGAAGAAGGATAAAGAGAAACTACTTGGGAAAAATCTTTAGCCGTTAAAATAGTTTTTTATAATTTTTTTCTGAAAAAGAAACTTTTTACATATTCTTTAGTCTATTCTTAAGAAAAAGACAGCAAAGAATAAACAGAAAGTTAGTTTCCTAAGAGAATTCCATCAACTCTAGTGAGTCATTTGTAAGTTGGAGTTAAGTCCAGTGTTGCCAGATCTTTACATTTTAAGGGAAACTGGAAATGTGGATTTCTTAGGTGAAATTTAAAATTTTTCAGTATTAACTTCTAATTCCAAATGTAAAGGCATTTTTAAAAGATTTAAAAATTTGGGGCTGGCAGGTGCTGTGGTGGTTAAGGTGCTGGATTCCCATGTGGAGTATGTTTCTAATATGCTCTATGGTCTTAACATTTATTTTACATAGAACTTTTTAATGTTAAACACTGAAAATACCTTTGCGTCCTTGTCAGGAAAGAGATAAAGTGAAAAGCAACTTTTTAATTTTATGTCAAAGTACACTTGTCGCATTAACTTGAACGTTAATACTAATGTTGTCCATTGATTTGCCTGTTTTTCTAGGTAGTTCGATTTCATGGTGGAGCCCTTCCTGCTTATGTTATATCTAGCATCCTTCTTGCTTATGGAGGGCAGTTGTACTCTCTTTTCTCAGCAGGTAAGAATATTTATAATTTTCAAGATACTTTTGTTTTAATGTTAAAGTAAAACAATTAATTCATTGTGTATATTTACACATATTTCAATCCATTGGGTTGTCGGAAAAGTCATGACGTATTTTTTCTATGCAAAAAATGCATCATGACTTTTCCAACAACCCAGTATTACATTGAATTAGGAAGCATATCAATGGAGTCTATAAATGGCCACATAGTAGTAGCCAACACTACTGCTCTTGGAGACTCCAAAATAGCATGTGATTTTATGATGTCTTCTCCATATCTTTATTGCTCTTCAGCTATCAATCACCAGTCCCAAACTAGTTATTGACAGCTAGTACAAAGACCTCCAATTTGTCCACTTAAGACCTCCAAATTATTAACATTCTTTTAGCTTGTGACTTGTATCAGTGTCATTTTTTAATGGGAAAAAAACTTTAAGGCTAAACAAGTTAACTAAAATAGTTAAAATACATGTAGAAATTACATGTTAAAAATCAATCAAAGACCAATAGGAAGGGCCATTAGGTGGTGCAGAATTTAAGACAGCTGTCTCCCATTTGGCCAACTGCGCAGTTTGAGGCCAGAACCTGGTGGCTTGAAAATCATGCCAGGCATGCACAATACATATAGGAATTGAACAATGTACAATTTCTTCTCATAACAATGTTTTCAATATTTATGTCTTTAAAAGAAATGCAAAAAATTAACCATAATACATATTCTAAAAATTAAATGATACCCTCATATCAAATGACTGAAACAGTTTTTTAAAACAATTTCCCACTATAATTTACACATTGCAGTTTGTTAAGTTTCTGTTTTTTTCCCTTTTCGAAAGCTTTATTGTAGTGTAATTGACATTGGTAAAGTTGAACATATTTAATGCATATTTTTTTCCATTTTCCCTTTATTTTTTAATATTTTTATTATCATAATCTTGTTTATATTACATTGAATCATGTATAACTTTGCAGTGTATTACATTTCTTTTTCCAGAAGGAATACCATGCATATCAGTCAATACAAAGATATTAAAATCCCCATCATCATCATCCAATAGCTTTTCATTTTTTTCCAAATTATCATTATCATGATTATTATAATTATTATTATTATCAGTTTGTCCTCTATCTCTTCCCACTGGATCTTTTTTTTGCCATAGAGCAGTGCATTTGCCAGACAGAAAGAGACAGAGAAAGTGAGAAATCATGGCTCAGGGTAGACAGCCTTGCTGTAGTTTTTTCTCTTTCATTCTCCTCTTAGTATTTTAGGCATGCACACATACAGCCAATGTGATTTTCTTTTTTTTTTTTTTAGAAAGATTTTTTTGCTGTGATGCATGCCCTCACCTAAGAGACAGAGACAGAAAGCAAGAAATCATCCCCCAGGGGTATGGCCATGCCACAGTCCCTTCTCTTCTATTCTCCTCTGGGGATTTTGGGCATGCATGCACATGAGCCTAGTGTGAGTATTTTACGCCGCCAGGTCTGGGACTCAAACTAAAGTTGACTATGTGGGAGTCCAGTGACAGAGCTATTATGCCATCTCCTGGTCCCCCCAATGTGATTTGCAAGCCACCAGGTCCTAGACTTGAACCATTGTTAGCCATGTGGGAGTCGAGTCCAGTGCCCCAACCACTATGCCACCTGTGAACAAAACTGGGTTTTTGTATGTTGAGCTTTCCATAGTTTGAAATCTACTGATTATGTCCCTGTGATAGGGTGAAACATGTTTTCCATCTTCTCTGTTTTCTATAAATTGGTAATTACACCTAGAAGCATGGTCAAATTCAAGTTCTCTTTCCACCCACCTCTGCCTGTCTTCTTCCTGCTGCTGCTGCTGCAAGATTATTTCTTTGTGTTATATACTTCAGTTTAGAGGTACTCACTCCCCTAATTTCCTTCCATGTCATCCTAATTTGTTTCTTTTCCTTCCTCTCCTTTTCCCCCTTCCTCTTCTGTCCTCTCCCTTCTTTCTTTCCTCCCTGCCTTTGCTCTTCCTTTCTTCTTTTCCTGCTCTTCTCTGTAGGCAATGCTTCCTTACTATTTTTCAGCTTACATGCAGTTAAGGAAAACAGATAATTTGACAATTCATGCCCCATCTTGCAAAGTTTGCAGAGGTCTGGGATCTTATACATTTAAGATATCACAAGAAATTCCCTTACTTGTTTTCTCTTATATCCCAGTGCCTGAAGTTTCTCTCTTCTGTTCTGAGAACCTCTTAAAATGTAGATCTTCCTCAAGAAACATCTTGTTCTGCATTCTATTCCTGGTGCCTGACACAGTACCAAGCACACAGTAGGCATTCATTGTAATATTGGGGCTGTGTCCTTTGTCACTTAGGTCCTGACACAATTGAATGGAATAGTTGAAATTCTAATGAAGGGGCTGTTTCAAAGGTATGTGCAGAGTTAAGAAAACCAACAAGAGATAATAAAGTAGCAGATTAGCAACAGAGCCATCTGGTACTCCTAGGTACCAAAGCAAGAGTGGAGCAACCTAGAGAGCTGTAGGAGTAGACAACAGTACTAGAACTGTAGCCTTAGGTGCAGGCACACTGCAACCACTGCCGGCCTGTGTCTCCACGGGGAAAATGATGAAGAAATACCAATATATACACTAAACTTATTCCTCCCATTCTCCTACCTGCCAGTACCTCTTATTCATTGAACCTAACTTGAACTCATAAAAATAAAAGTCATTGGGGACCAGCAATTGGCATAATGGCTGTGTTGCTGGACTCTCATGTAGTCAACCGTGGTTAGAGTCCCGGACCCAGTGGCTTAAACTCACTCCAGGTGCGTGTGTGTGCATGCCCGAGATCCTGAGAGGAAAATGGAAGAGAAGGGATTGTGGCGTGACCATCCTCCCTGAGAGGGGATTTCTCATTTTCTGTCTCTCTGTTTCTCTCTGTCTTTTTGGCGAGTGCATACACCCGATAGCAAAAACCTACCCCCCCCACCACCAAAAAAAAGTAGAAGTCATGGGGCCCATCCGGTGGCATGGTGGTTAATGTGTGGATTCCTACATATCGAACCATTCAAGTTGACCTGGCAGCTTGAAAACTATACTGATCATGTGTGTGTGCATGCCCAGAATCCCAGGAGGAGAATGAAGGATAAGAGATTATAATGTGTCCATACTCCCGGGGAAGTGATTTCTCCCTTTCTCTCTATGTGTCTCTCTGGAAAGTGCACATGCACTATGGCAGACACCTAAAAAAAAAAAAACGAAAAAATCATATTTTTAGTTTCGACCAGAGTGAAGAGTGGAAAATGGATCTAGAAAGGTAGATATAGAATGTATTGGGTCATCAGGAAAATCATGATGCATTTTTGCATAGAAAAACACGTCATGACTTTCCCAATAACCTAATTTTATACAGTGGACAAAATCCTCCCTAGACAATAACAGAAGAGTTGTTAATGTGTCTTAAACTTTGTTTTGGACAGTAATCAAAGGAGGAAAAAGGTATGAAATAAAGAATAGAATACAAAGGGATTTGTGGAGAAAAGAATGGAATTAAAGTATGACTATTTGGGGGCAGAAAAATTTTTAATATATGTACAGTTGTTCATAATACACATTTTCAATGAACTTTCTGAAAATTGTTAATAAATCCCCTGTGCCACTAAACTTTTTTTAAAGAATTATTTATTTAATTTTATTTATTATTTATTTATTTATTTTAATTTGCTATGGGCAGAGACAGAGAGAGAAAGCAAGCTGCCAGGTCTGGGACTTGAACCATGATCAGCCATTTGAGAATCTAGCAGTTAATCATCATGCTACCTGCTGACCCCACTACCACTAAATTCTTCTGCAGCTACTCAATGACTTTTAGTGACTTAAACAACGTTAGGTCTGCTTTTAGTGTTCATTTTTACCTAATTTAGCTTACATTTCAGGAAAAGGGAAGCAACATTTAATGTAATCTCCCTTGGACCTTTTTTTTTTCTTTTTTTGAAGAGGTTTTTGCTATAGGGGCGTGTGCTCGCCAGACAGACAAAAACAGATAGAGAGACAGAAAGCGAGAAATCACCCCCCCCCCCCCCGCGGGGGGGGGGGCCCCCCCCCACACCCTTCCAGGGGGGATGGCCACACCGCAATCCCTTCTCCTCCATTCTCCTCTCGGGATCTTGGGCACACACACATACGCGCCCAAAGTGAGTTTAAGCCACTGGGTCCAAGACTCAAACCGCGGTTGACTACGTGGGAGTCCAGCGACATAGCCATTACACTAACTGCTGGTTCCTCCCTTGGACCTTTTTAAGGGAGTATTGAGGCAATATGACATTTGCCAAACTTTAATACAAATGTCTATTTGTTTTGAAAATCTGAAATAAACACCCCATTCTTTATAGTTTCAACTAAAAGTTGACTTAGTAATTGATTCCCAAGCATACAGAATTTATATTTAGATAGTCTACAGAGGCCCCAAGGATATTCAGTGGTTAATCTAGAAGGTTTAAGTATGGGATTATGTTTCAAACCATAAGAGAGGTGGTTCTGAGCTAAAGATGCATATCAGAAATCACCTATAGGTCATAATCACTAAAATGGCTATAATAAAAAAAGATCACTAACAAGGATGTGGAGAAATTGGAGCCCTTGTACACTGGTGGCGAGAATGTAAAATGGTATATATCTACTTTGGAAAAGTTTGGCAGTTTCTCAAATGGTTAAACGCAGAATTACCACATGACCCTGCATCTCCAGGAATATACTCAAGAGAAATGAAAGCACTCACCCACACAATGATTTATATACAAATGGTCATAGGAGTATTTGTAATAGCCATAGTGTAGAAACAACCCAAATGTCCTTCAGCTGATGAGGGGATAAATAAAATGTGGTATGTCCACACAATAGACATTATTCAGCAATGAGAAGAAGTAAAATAGTGGTTCATGTTACAATGTGGATGAATTGAGAAAAAATGCTAAATGAAAAGAGCCAGTTATAAAGGGCCATGTGTTGGGTCACTGGAAAAGTTTTTACTTATTTTTCTGTTTTTCTATACAAAAATGCATCATGACTTTTCAGGTGACCCAATATTATATACGATTTTACGAAATGTTCAGAATAGTCACATTTATAGAGACAAAAAATAGAAGAGTGGTTGCCTAGCATGGGATATTTAGGGGTAGTGGTAAAGGGGAACAAAGTTCTTTTGGGGGTGATGAAAATGTTCTCTAAGACTGATAGTGATGATAAATGCACAACTCTGAATATACTAAAAACTCTTGAATTGTGTATACTTTAATAAATGAGTTCTCTGGCTTGAGAATTTTATCTCAATAAAGTTATTTTTTAAAAATCACCTTGGAGCTTTATTAAAATGTATTGATACATTGATACAACTTTGACTCCCTGGATTTGTTTCGTAGTGATTGTATGTGTATTCTTGTATAAGAATCATTAATCTTTCAAGAAGGCCTTATGACATTAGTAATGGAGATCTTTGGTTTTTCTGACAAATAATATGTTGTGCTTATAAACAGTATAGAATATATTTCATGCTACTGTGAATCTGTATTGCATATAATTTAATTTTTTTTAAATCACTAGGTTATTGCTTAGAATATGCTACCATATTGGATAAAGAAGCCAAACCATACAAAGTTGATCCTTTTGTAATTATAATTAAGTTTCTATTGGGGTAAGTTTTATCATCTGTGGTAATGATTTTAATTTTACCTCACATCTGAAATATTTTGTTTGGTTCCATAATGCACTATAAATTTTTATACAGATTTCATAGTTGTTTTGTTAAATGGGGTTTTTCTCTTAGACAAATGCCTAACTTGAGGGTACATCAGTAAATTTTTAAAAAATGGAATTAAATATATACTGAGTGTCCACCTTCTATGACTGAAACTGATTGATGAAAGGATATAGAAACACAGTATATAGACGTAAATACCAGATATAGTGTGTGTGAAAGAGGAGGGTCTGAGGAAAGATATTTAGAAGAAAAATAGGGAGGCAAAGCATTAATGGGACAAAGAAATGTGGTATTATCTGTTGAAGATATTTTATAGTTTTATCAACTGTACTAGGGAGAAATGTTCACCTGTTGAAATATTCATTTTGTAAGCTAAATAATGTGATTGAATGTATAAAAGAAAATGACATAAAAATAAAAATAAATGAATAGGTATAAAGACAAACAAAAGTGCAAGTTAATTTTAGTGCTAAAAATTTTTAAGTCCACACATAGTTTTTTCATAATATGCATTTTTATAAACTTTTCAAAATCCCCTTGTGCGTATATCAGCATTTACTTCAATAGTATAATAATTTTAAAAGTAATTGTTGAACTTATATCGATCTAAACTCATACTGTAAGTCTGGTTCCATAGTACAGTAGTTTAGGAGAGTCAATCCCACATGAATCCCGATCCTAGCAGCTTGAAAAACATACTAGGTGCGTATATGTTCATACCTAAAATCCTGATGGCTTGGAGAAATGGAGACAAAGGATTGAGACATAACTGTGCCCCATTGAGGGGTGCTTTTTCTCTCCCTGCCTCTCTCTCTCTCTCTTCTTTCTGGTGAGTGCTTACTCCCTTTAGCAATGGGGGAAAAAATAGACTTTAAATACACTAGGTCTTTAACCATTGCAAATGGATATGTGGTCTGTGATCTTTCAGTATCCCAGATTCACAAACATAAACCATTACAAAGTATTGATGAAACCGTGTCTCTGATGTCCTTCTCTACTTCCCATATAAGTATATTTTAGACCTCTCTATCCTCGTTAATATTCAAGTCTTAATTTACTCATATTTTGTGGTTTGGGGTTAAGAACCTCTATATAGTTGTAAAGTTCCATCTAAAGCTACCTGTTGGCTTTCTAACTAAGAATTAGAAAAAACAACAATACCGCACATTAGAAATCTATAGAGGGGCTGACAGGTGGCATGGTGGTTAAAGGCGCTGGGCTCCCACATGGTCGACTGCGGTTCAAGTCCCAGACCTGGTAGTTTACTTTCTCCATTTCCCTCTCTTTCTTTCTCACTTTGTCTCTCTCTGGTCTAATTTAAATAAATAAATAAGTAAAAATTAAAAAAAAAATAAATAAAAGGAATCAATAGAGACCAGTAAAGGTGTGTTGACACTCAGGCCTCAAATCCTCAAAGATGGGTAGGCTCACTTGTTAAATAAATGACTTATTACATATGAAGCATTAAATTTTGCTTTTTTAGTATAATTATAATTTATGTACAATATCATGGAACCTTATGGTCTCTAGTTAATGGTCAGAGAACTCATGTTAAATTTTTTAATGTCAGTAGTTGGGTTTTTATTTTATTTTGATTTTTGCTTTTATTTTATGTTTTCTTTTGTCTACAGGTATAAATGGTTTAAAGAATTATGGGACACATTATTGTTACCAGAGTTGGATGCCATTTTTTTAACTAGTCAGAGTATGTGTTTCCCCCTTGTGTCCTTGATTCTCTTTCTGTTTGGAACATGTACTGCCTACTGGAGTGGCCTGCTCTCTTCTACATCTGTGAGACTCCTTTCTTCATTGTGGCTAGCTCTGAAAAGGTAAAGAATGAATGACTGAAAGCTTTCTTATTGCTCTTTGTTTAAAAAAAATTATATTCTGAGGTCAGCAGGCAGCATGATGGTTAAGACACTGTACTCCCACATAGTTGACCACAGTTCAAGTCCAGGACTGGCAGTTTGAAAAACATGCTGGACACGTATATGTGCATGCCCAAAATCCCAAGAGGAGAATGGAGGAGAAGGGGTTGTGGTGTTCCCATCCCCCCTGGCAGATGATTTCTCACTTTCCTTCTCTCTGTCTCTGTCTCTGGCAAGAGCACAAAGCCTATGGCAAAAATCTAAAAAAAATAAAATAAAAATAATTTAGGGAAGTCTAAAATTAACTGTTTGCACTGAACTGAACTGTTTTTTAAGGAAAGCTTTATAACTTGCAAAAGTATGGGTTAATGTTCAAAGTGATGTCTTTATCAAAGCTAATCATTTATTGCAAGTTAAATTCTATAGTTGGGGGCCAGCAGATGACGTGGTGGTTGAAGTGCTGAACTTCTCACATGGCCAACCGTGGTTCAAGTCCTGGACCTAGCAGCTTATCTCT